CAATCAGTCGACGAAACATAAATGGAATTCAATGGATGAGACGTTGTAAAACCACCTGGGCGCCGGGGGGGAGGGGGAGGGGGCAGAGGAGGAGGTTGAAAAGGACAATGAGAGGAGAGGGGGTGGAAATTTACGATCAAGATAACGATGATGATGATCAGGCATAAGAGAGGAGGGGAAAGCGGAGAAGAGGAGGATGGAGGCAGGAATAGGCCGGAGCAAGGAGTAGCGGGAGGAGGAGCAGCGGGAGTGGCCAGGTCGATGAGGAGGAGACGGAGGCAAAGAGAGGAGAGGGAATGGCAAGAGGAGCGGGAGAGGGAGGAAGAGGAAGAGGTGAGGAAGCGGACAAAGCGGAGGAAGTCGAGGATGAGGAGGAGGAGGATGGAGGGAAGAGAAGATAGCAGCAAGCAGCAGAGGAGGAGCGGGACGAGGAGGAGAGGGAGTGGTCGTGGCAATGTCGGTCTGCGTGTGTGTGTGTGTGTAGGATGAGCAAATCTTTGGAGGCCGGGCCTCACAGGTAAGTGCTGTGTGACCTGGCTATGCCCGTTGGAGGTCGCTTGGTGCTTCATGGCCTGTTGGGGTGTGTTGGGCTCTCTTCCTCTTCTCTGCAGTCTTGGTTGTGTGTGTGAGCTTGTGGATTGCTTTCTCACCTGATGGATGGATGGATGATGTATCTTGTTCTCAATGACATATCTTTCTGCAGTCCATTGTCCTTTCATTTCTGAACGGATGTAGGGGTAAGTTCTTGCTGAAAGTTGTCTTTCCTTTTCAGTACGGTAGAGGCAGTTTGGGACTGACTTGGTACACCTATCTCGTTGGTCCTGGTCCACGACCTACTTGGGACCTTCGGGACTCGGTGGGACCACGCACAACGGGACAGGACCTTTAGGGCCCAAATCTGTTGCCGTCAATGCATCTCTTTGCTGTGCTGAATTTGCGGGACATGCTGCTAGTAAGGGCATTCCTTTCAAGGGGATCTTGATTGGTCTTACTGCATGCTCTCACATACTGCGCCGTGTCTGGCTCGACGACCGTCTGCACCCCTCGAAATCTCCATTGCTGCAGTTAGTTTTCCTTCGGCTGACTTATTGTGGTACATGCTCCTTGTCAGATTAGACAAGAGGGGATCTCCAGCTAATCTGATCGGGCCCATTCGATAAGTCAGTCCTCTCTTTCGTTTTTTTTTTATTATTTAATTTATTCTGCTGCGTGAATGTCATTCTCTAAGTCCAAATGAATTGCCGCTCCGGCTAGGAGTTCTACCTTCCACTCTTGGTGATTTACTTTTTTTTTTATCTGAATTATCGGTATTGAGACGCGTGCGTAGAAAGTGGAAAGAGAGAGAAGGGAGAGAGAAGGTGTTCTTTTTGAGAGCGTGAGGAAGGGTAAGAGGAGTGTTCGTCCTAAAGTGAGCAAAGTGCGGACCCCTCTTGAGAGATCTACTGACACCCTATCCTCCAGCATGGCAGACATCACGTTCGAGCAATGGAAGGCCATGCTGGACGCAGCGGCCGAAAACGAGAAACCTTTCTTTCAGATACTTTTTGAGGACGCAATACACACAGAGAGAGGAAGGCAGAGGCAGCAGCCAAAGCCACAAGTATTGCTGAACAAGTGGCCCTCCAAGAGGTTCCGAAATCGAATGATGACTGGTTCCAAAAGAAGCTAGTTGCTGCCATAGCAGCCTTGGTTCAACTGTGGACCCTGGAAGATAAGTCCCGTGTCACAGCTCTAGAGCAGCGGAACCAAGAGCTGCAGGCTGAGATAATCAGCCTCAACCAGTCCCAACTGTCTGCCCTCTGTCCTCCTAATCCTCGATCGGCTGCAGTCCCAGTCTCTCACCCTAACACAGTCCTCATGTCAAGAGTAAGTGGAACTGTGACGAGCGCAGGAACCGGTGCCAACTCCTCAAGCGGCAGCGCCGACAGGTCTGCACTGGTCCTAATTCCAAATGCAGGAACCTCGACCCAAAACGCCGCAGTTCTTACTGGCGTACAATACAGCGGTCCCGTAGTGGACAAGAGGGCGGCCACTCTGTCGTCCAAGTACGACGGGAAGGGGGGACATCACCTCTTGGATTAGCTCCATGCGCTCATACTTTGAGGTACTGTGAACACCGCAGGAAGACCGAAGCATGATCATGGGCACAAATACCGAGCCCGTCGTACGGAGTTTCATAGAACTCCAAGCTGTTACTGCAGGTTATGAGAGAATTGATCTGACTGAGTGGCTGAAAGTAACTCCTGTACGTACTTTTGAGGACCTCCTCATCGCGCAATATCAAGATAAGCACACTGCGCTCAAGGCAAGGCTGAAGCTTGAGGCCCTCAAGGGCCAAACGTGGAGGACTTCCATGCAGGCTTTGAAGCAGCACTTGACTGGTCTGTTCACCACTCTAAACCTGGGATGGACTGACGTGTCTTGCATGGATGTAGTTATGGGAGTGGCCCCTAAAGAATATGTCTCCCGGTTAGGACTCAAAGACCATACGACTTGGCGAGAGCTACTGATGGATCTAGTCAATCTAGAAGCCAAGGACCTCGCCAAGTGTGCAAAGGCACCCGCTGCAGGTAGAACCTCGCAACGCAAGCGGTACGAAAGCAGCAACCAGCTTGCCCTGCACGAACATCGGGAGGCTGAGGATCAGTCCTATGCGGATGATTTGTCTCTAGATGACGATCTAGAGCCGGACTCCGACGTGGGCTGTTCTACATCAGCCCTTCAGTATGACATAAATACTGAAGAAAAATGTAATGCCTTTAAAAAGACTGCTTCAAGCAAGGGGCCTAACCGTGGTTCGGGTAAGGGAACTGTAGCACACCTCCCCAAGAATGCAAAGATCCCTGAGAAACCGGAGGATGATTCCACCAAACCTTCGAAAGCCCTCCGTAGCAATCAAAAGGAATGGGAGAGAAGATCCAAACTGCGCGTGTGCTTGCATTGTCAAAAGCCTGGGTACGCTGCGCAGGACTGTTATCGTCTGCAGGGAAACAGGCAAAGGGCGTAGAAGAGTCATCAACGCTCTCTACAACAAGGGAAACTGAACAGTCAGTTGCAGGTCTCTCCAAGGAGCCCGAATCTTATCAACAGCCTGCTCTTCAA